CGCCAGTGTGGAGCACGGCTATGGCGCCCAGTTAAGTACGGCTGACGCAGGTATGGCCTCCGCCCCTCTTCTTCTTCTTCTTCTTCTTCTTCTTCTTCTTCTTCTTCTGCTTCTTCAGGTCGCCAGTGTGGAGTGCAGCTATGGCGCCCAGTTAAGTACGGCTGACCCGGGTATGTGTTGTTGTTGTTGTTGTTGTATAGGTCGCCAGTGTGGAGCACAGCTATGGCGCCCAGTTAAGTACGGCTGATGCAGGTATGGTCTCCGCCCCTCTTGTTGTTCTTCTTGTTCTTCTTCTTCTTCTTCTTCTTCTTCTTTTTTCTTCTTCTTCTTCTTCTTCTTCTTCTTCCCTACTAGGAAGTAACGGAATAACAAATCCTGCAAATATGGGAAATAATTCAATAATACTTAACCAAGGCAATTGATTCATAATGAAAAATATATCTGTTTAAAATTAAGAACATTGAAGAAAAGAATATTCTTAAAAACCTATGATTCATTCAATTTTTTAAAAAATATGTACTTCTTCTTCTTCTTCTTCTTCTTCTTCGTCTTCTTCGTCTTCTTCTTTTGGTGGTTGTTATTGTTGTTGTTGTTGTTGTTGTTGTTGTTGTTGTTGTGCAGGTCGACAGCGTGGAGCACGGCAATGGCGCCCAGGTAAGTGGAATGTGCCCTGTCGTGAAAATCAGTCGTCACTCGCAAAGACAAAATAGACGAACGCTGCTGATAAATCATAATAATAATGATCCCAAAATGAGAGAGAATGCATACACAGACGAGAGAGGGAGGGCGGATAATAGACTTGGAGAGGGTGGAAGAGTCTCCTCCTTACATCCCACTTCCTCTTTGGGCACTTCCTCCTCCTAGCAGCATAATCGTGTCTCAATCAGAGATCCGGACATCCAAGACAATGTAGTCCAACAGTGCCACGTGGCACCAGGAGACCAGTCATCAAGCAGCAGCGTGACGACGAAGTTGAAGACACCAGGTACGTATCACGACCCCAACCACAGTCCTGAATCCTCCTTCCGAGTACTTGTCAAGCAGAACAGCAATACAGGCGCCCAGCGCCTTCCATCTCAACAGCAATACTACATGGCAGCAGCCACGAAGATAACACGTGGCATCTGCCATGTCGATAACCCCTCAGGTAGTAGTGCGCCAGCAGCATGCTGGTCGCACAGCACACTCAAGCCACGAACCAGCAACGAGCGCCGGTCGTCAAGTTCTCCGCAGCAACTCGCCAGCAAGACAGCATAGAGCCGGCATTGACGCGAGAGCGTCGAGTCCCCATAGACTCCAGACGAGAGTCTAGATGTCAAAGCCAGGAAGTCAGCCCAATGTGGTAGTGTTGACGGCGGGGTCTGGGCCCCAGTCCTCAAGTCAGACACGGCCGAGATCGATTGTCGTCGACGGCCTGGATTAGGTTGAAACTGTATCCTTCTTGGTCCACCGTTCTGACTGGGTACCTGCACACATACAAGTCGATGCACACGACCAAGAGCCTGGGCGAGGTACCTGGACCTACAGTTCACTTTGAC